TTTTTTGTAATAATAATTGTCTTCTTCACTCAAGGCTGAAAGAGGAGGGAAAGAAAGAACAACAACAACAACAACAAACAACAACAACCGTATAAAACATTTTGTGTTATTTGTTTCGATGACCACACTATAACACCATAATCATATCCCCCCCTGTTTTTTTTTTTCATTTTTAAATTTTCTTTAAAATTCATTATTATTTTGATAACACCATAGAGTATTTATCTTATTACTCTATGACGTAATCACGACTCATTGAAATTTTTTTCGAACGACAGCAGCAATTGAGCAAAAAAAAAATTTTTTTCTTTTTGTTTTCTTTTATATTTCAACGATTCGAATGTGACGTCACTTCTCTCATCAAAATCGAAACGTTCTAAGAAAACGACAAAAAATTCGAAACAAAAACAAATGATAATAATAATAATAATAATAATAAAGAAAACGGAGAGAATAAATGATAATTAGATAATATGACAACGTTTGAATTTAAGGAATCAGGATTAATCATGAGAAATCCAGGTGTCTTTGTGATTACTAATCGGAAAACCTGCTGATCTTTTCAATACCTAGATCATATTCCTCCAGCGTATGTATTGCAATACGACCTCTTTACGTTTTTTTTAGGCGCGTTTTTCTTTTTTTTTTTTCTCGTATTTTGGTTATAATAAATTAATTATTTATCACGGATTATTTGTTTTTTTTTTTTTTTTTCACTCGACTGAAAACGATTAAAAATCATTATTATTATTATTATTATTATTATTATTATTATTATTATTATTATCATTATTATTAACGGCGGTTAAACAAAAAAAATTTTTTTTCATACGAAGGTTCGACACGGTCTGGTAAAAAAAAAAAAAAAAAAAATTAATTTTATTTTCGGATGATTGTAAATAAAAGCGCAAAATCATGTCAGGTACATTTTTTTTTATTTGAAATGATGTAAAATCGAAACGGATAATAATAATAATAATAATAATAAAATTCAATTAATGGAGCATAAAATAATAATAATGATAATAGTATTAAATCAAAATCGAGTTCGATCATGATGTGATATAACCATTTTTAATTCGATCAAATCGATTTAAAAAAAAAAAAACCGAAAAAAAAAATTTTCCGCTTCTATTTTTTTTTGAATTAAAAAATTATTATTATTATTATTATTATTATTATTATTATTATTATTATTTTTTTTTTTTTTTTTTTTTTTTTAATAATGGCGACGGAGTATAAATTAAAAAAAAAAAAAAAATTATAATTTTGCTCTCGTTCGACATATCGGAAAACCTGAATTTCTCTCTCTCTTTCTCTTTCTTTCTTTCTTTAAACCCTCCCCCGTACCTGTTTTTTAATCAACTTTTTTTTCTACATCGTTTTTATTTACGAAAAAAAAAAAAACTCATTTAATTATTATTATTATTGAATTATCGTCGCGGTAATGAATATAAAAAAAAAAAAAATGTTGTACCTGGCGGTGTAAAAAGTAAAAAGTTAAAAAAAAAAAAAACGGGGAGCATTTTAAACAAGAGGATATACGTGGAGTCAACGACGAACAAACAAACGAACAAACAAACAAAAAAACTTTTTTGAATCCATTTCCGTTTTGTTTACGTTTAATTTATAATTTATTATAATAAGGAAAATTTTAATAAAAAGGAATGTGTCGGGGAAGAAAGATTAGAAAATTTTTTTTTTCTTTGAGGGTGGCGGAGGGGAGGAGAAAGGAGGGTAGGACAATTCGCAATTCCCGTTTCAAATTTTTTTTTGGTAAATAATATGACTAAATTTAAACAACAACCATCGGGAAAAAAAAAAAAAAATTTTCGAGAGTAAATCTTTTTAATAAGAAGAAATAGAAAAAGAGTAACGAGCATAACGAAATTTGAAGAATCGGGGCCACATGATGAAGATGATCCTCAGTGTGGCACCCCGTCGGGTATCATACATACATCCATACAAATTAACCCGTTTAGTACGTAGGTGCAATATGTTAAGATCAGTTATTTCAAATCTTTCATTTTTCATCCTCTCTCTCTCTCTCTCTATAAATGTTGTTTGAATCCGACTTATTTCCAGGGCCGCCATAAACTCAATTATTTAAACCTTCGAAATGACGTCAAAAAATATGGAAAATTTATACCTCCTGTCTAGGTTGACTAATGACCTGATTTGGGAAAATATTTTTTACGGATGAGAAAATATAAAACCCTGTGCCCCTTCCTCACCCCTTCCTTTCGGATGAGACTACGAGCAAGCAATTTGATTCCAATTGATTCCTTTCTTTCTCCACCTCCCCCCCATTACTCCCCTTCGAAAAAAACTGTTTTTACATGTGGGGGGGGATTCGAAACCGAAGAAGAAGAAGGACTTGGAATCCGGCGATTTCACGGTTCAACCCTTTCACCTGGCTGCTTTTTTTTTTTTTTAAATAGGAAGTTGTTCTCTCTTCCTTCTCTCCTGAATTTGTTCCGGTACCAACAACCCAGCGGGGAGTTCGCCAGATTCCACTCCTTTTGTTTACATGACCTTTCCATTAGACCGGATTATTTTTTTCTACTTCATTAATCCTTTTTATAAAATTTTTTTTTTTTTTTTAAATCGTTTCTTATACCTTAACCTTATTATATTACTTTCCTTCTTTCCCCTCCTTCCCCACCCGCTCCCGCTCTTCATTTTCTTCTTCGATATATCAGTAAAAAATTTTACTCGATTGAAATCACTTGTTGCGGTTTTTTCAACGTAATTTTTTCTTTTTTTTGACAAAAAAATTCGATTCTTTCAGGTTTTTTTTCTATAATGAAACTATAAGAAAATATTGGGGGTCTTTGCACCTAAAAAAACCACATTTTGAATCGTTTCAACTTTTTTTCCTTTTTTTTTTTTTTTGGAAATCCTCAACACCATCACCATCACACACAAATATTAAAATTTTTTTTTTTTTCACTCTTCCAAACCGAAAAAAAATATTTTTTTTACAAATTTAAATTTCCATCGCGTTTTAAATAATAATAATAATAATGATAATAATAATAAAATTTACTATGCAAAAATTAATTAAATTCACTCCCACCGTATTTTAACCCGAGGGTATATTTAATAAAAAAAAAAAAAAACGTCAATTTTTTAACTTTATAATAATTTTTTTTTTTTTTTTAAATAATAATTAATAGGTTTTTTTAGTGTTTGTTGTACCTTGTGCCTTGTTTGCCTATCCTTGACAAAACTCGGGGTAACTAACATCATGTTTTTCCAATAATTCAATGCTACGAATTTAATAACAACATTAAATAATCATACGAACTCCCCATTTTTTTTTTTTTATTTAAGTAAATTTTCATACCTTATTAAAATTATTAATTACGTCGTATTATTATAGAAAAAATGTAATGTTTATTACAGAATCGGGGAGGGAAGGGGGCGAGGGGGAAACGTGCGAGTGTGTGTTTTTATGAGTATTTGATTTGACAACCGCTTTTTATGTCAGCGTGATACCGCAACGACACCCAATTACAAAAACATTTAAATACCTTTTTTACCCTTTTTTTTTCAAAAAAATATTTTCTATCAATAATTTGCGAATAATAATAATAATAAGAATTATCATAAAGATGTTTAAAACGAGGTAATGATCCTAAACAAGAAAACGACGACGGTTTTTTTTCTTTTTTGTTCTCTCTTCCTCTCTCTCTCTCTATCTATCGTATTTAGTTTTTTAGGTATTAAAAGCCGACGTTTTAATATAACGGCTCAAACAATGCAAATTACAATAGTATAAAAAAAAATTTAGAATCATTCATGTAGAAGCATCACCTTCTGCGGTTCTCACCACTTGAAAAAAAAAAAAAAAAAAAAGAGGAAAAAGGGTTTTTTTTTTTGCAATGATTGATTCAAGTGATTTCAGGTGACGTTTTCTTAACATTAAGATGTTATGCTGTTTGTTGTGCCTTCTCTCTCTCTCTCTCTCTCTCTCTAAAAAAAAAGGATTCAATCGAAATCCGTGATGCTGTTACTGCTCATCCTTTTTTTTTTAAAAAATCAATTATTATTCTACCGAAAATTAATTTTTTTCGTTTTGTTTGAGTGACGGTTTTTTTTTCCTTCTCATAAATCAAATTTTATCATTTTTATCATAGAATAATTGATGGAAAAATGGGAAAAAAATATGGCGGTTAATTAATTAATTTACCGTTTTAAATAAATTCATTCATACGATTTCGGACTTTACTTAAAAAGTGTCTCACACAAGACAGATTCTATTAGTAATTTACAACAAACAAACAAACAAACAATATTTAATATATAGTTAGGTTTAAATAGAGACATACACACACATTCGGGTTTTCTCTCTCTTTTTTCTTTATAATGATTTTGTCAATATTTCTAATTGATTTTTTTTTTTTAACCACTTTAAACATTTTATTTCATTACAATCGATAAGTCAATATTTCTTTTGGTTTTTTTTTCGAATCCATATTTTTTTATATTTACTTAAATGTATTTTGAAATCGTCAACGACCACCATATTATTTGACCAACCGGTAACTACCGGAGTAGTAAGTTAATAATCCCGAAACCTTTTTTTTTAAATATTTATTTACCCGGAATAAAGTTTTTTTTTTTATTTTTAATCAACAAGAATAAAAATTTAAATAAATGGTTTTTAAATTTTAAATTTAAAAAATTTACGCGCCAAAATAGTATTTTTTGTTGTTGTTCCTGAAATCCACCTGTCAATTGAAATACAATTAACTGGAATTACCTTGAAGTTATATTAAAAACAATTTAAAATTTAATAATCGGTTTGTAATTATTATTATTATTATTATCATTATCATTATTATTATTAAATCCCAAAAACGAAGATTTTACTAAAAAATGTGGCCATTTATCCGATTATGGTACTCGATGGAGTATAAATTATTAACAACTAAATTAATTCATTAAATTATTATTATTAACCAGTTGCGGGTATTTTACTATTATTATTATTATTATGTTTTGGCGACCCTAAAGGCAAAACGATTTCATTCACCCGCGAATGAATGTTAAAAAGGTTTTATTTCGGGGGAAGGGGGGAGGAGGAAAGGGGGGAAAAAAATTTGTTCGGCTTACCTGTAATAAGAAAATCCCTGGGGAACGTGAAGGTCCATAGGCATGGCGGAATGATGATGAGCCGCTCCTGGATGTGGATACCCGTGATCGGGTTGCATCATGGTTCCGCCGCCTACAGCCGCCGCCGCTGCCGCCGCGGCGCTGTGATGATGGCCTAACATAGCGGCGGCCCATGGCGACGAAGCAAAACCTCCTGGATGATCCAGTTCGAAACTTCTATCGACTACGCCGCAGTGCATCAAAATTTAAAGTTTTCGCTAAGACAAAAATTAAAAAAAGAAAAAAAAACAAAACAACAACAACAACGATAACGACGACTCTTTCTCGATCGAATTTTATTATTACATATTTTTACCGACAGCAACACAGTACCGGTTGTTGCGCATGCTCGTTCACGTTTATTGCACCTGTTGATTATTTAACATTATTTATTTGTATATGAGAAACAACACTAAATTAAACACTCAAACACACTGAAGAAAGACAACTTTCACAAAAGATACGAAAATGTTTTTTTTTTCTTTACGATCAACAAAAACCACTTGATTTAAATTAATAGATAATAATAATAATAAAACAATAAAAGAAAAACGCGGACACTTTTTTTGTTTCTTATTTAGTAAAATTCATTCAAATACTTTTCAATTTTTTTTTGTTTTTGTTGATAAAAAAAACTCGCGAGGAGAACCACGTTCAACATGGATGAAGTCACAACACGCTATCTTAAAGCGCCTTCGTTTGGCGATCGAATGACGTTGGGAAGGGCAACTGCCGAGGCAACACCAGCAGTGGGCGGAGACTAATGACGTCAAAAATTATTTGCTCCGCCCTAAAACACACTACGCATATTGTTGCTAATTGAAAAAAGGCACAACTTGCGTAGTAAAATACATTAACTTATGTCATTTTAACTCTGAATTGTAATTTTTGTCCAATATGGATTTTCTTTAACAAAACTATGCTGGTTGCTGGAGTTTCCGTATTTTTGACAGGTGACAGAAAAGGAACGATTCCAGAATAACAATAAGGAGGTTTGCTATCGTTAAAACCAGCACCAATTTGAAAAAAATTTTTTTTTTTTTCGTAAAAAAACTACTAAATAATAATACATAAATTGTTAATAAAAAACTAATTTTAAATAAATTTAACAAAATTTGTTGTTAACAAAAAAAAAAAAAAAGAAAATCAATGTTGATAATAATCTCTTAATGGTAAAATTATTATTATACCCTTGAAAGTGTTGTAATAAAAACACATAAATTACGTCAAAAATTATAAATCAAATTTTATGCGACAGCAAATAAAATCGATAGTTTAAAAAAAAACGGTATAAAATTAGGTCAGAAATTTTTTTTTGGAGAAAAAAAAAAAACTATGATGAAATTGTGTGCTTCATCCAGAACAACCAGCCGACAGCACGTCCGAAACGTTTTCGAGACGTTTTTTCGAGTCAAGGTCTTTTGCGTGCTTCCATGGAATATTTAACCATTTACTACTTATTTTCAACCGTCTGGAAGAAGATCGAAAAAACGTCCGATATCGTTTTATAATTATTTTTCCATAAATAATAAATGAAATGAATAAAAACGGCGTTGAAAGGCGGCCATTTTGTTTTGTACATATGGCCGACATATTATTTGTTTAAAAAAAAAATTATCCAAAATTAATTTTCTTCTTTAACATTTTTTCTTTTTTTCATTGTTCTCCAGCATTTCTTTCTTCTTCTTCTTAAAAACATATTCTACAATATTAATAATAATAATTTTTTTATAAATAAATAGATTCCAACATAGAAAAATTTTTTAAAAAATTATTATCTGTCAATGAAAAAAAAGAAAAAAAATTTAAATTTTTTCTGGCGTAACGGTGACAAATTTATTATTATTATTATTATTGTTGCTAATGATGTTTCAAAAATAATAAAAGGGCTTCTGCTACTGCTCTGCAAAATTCCTTGTTAAGTTTTTCTTAATATTTCACGGTATAAGATCATGAAAAGAAAAAAAAATCGAAAATCATAAAATACCTGTTATTAATCAAAAAAAAAAAAAAAAGGTGAAGAAAAGGCGTTTTTCGACTTGTTGGGGTAAAAAAGGGGAAAACAATTTGTCAAACGGGGATGATGATGATGATAATGATGATCTAGAACGTTCGTTCTCACTGCATAATGAGGGTTTAATTTTTGTAAAATTATTTCTGGGTTAATGACTTAAATCAATCTTCTTTTTTTTACGCTCATGTTCCTGCCGCTCCTGTTCCTGCTCTTGTTCCTGCTCCTGCTCCTGAACATTTCGAATCCCTTTTTTTTGACAATTTTTTCCTTTTTGTTTACGTTTGAATCCAACGCGAACTTTCATAATTAACAACAATCAATCGATCGATAATTTTATTTTTAATTATTCGTCACGATTTTTTTGTTTAAACATAATCTTTTTTAAAATATAATAATACTCATCACTTCCTGTAAACAAAAACAAAAGATTTATTATTAGATGAGTATCTAATGGTACCAGAGAATGACGAATGGTACCAACTAAAAATTTCTCATTCATAAGATTTTTTTCAGATCTCACAAAAGGTTTGTTCGTAAACCTTCTTGTCACACATGAGAAACAAAATAAATTTAAAAATCCTGTCGCTTAATTTACTGACTCCCCGGACTCTCTCTCACTCTTTCTCTCTCTCTCTCACACACGGATTTTTATTATTAAAATTTAAAAAAAATGTTTTCTCTCACCTCATGTAACGGTTTTTTTCGGTAAAAAGGATCCACAACAGATGATAATCTATTTTTGTTTTGAAAACTCAATTACCGCCTTTTTTTCCCCGGATTTATAAAATTTAATTTGCATGAGTTTTTTTTTATTTTTTCCAGGTATGTCCCCCTCCCCTTCTCCCCCCCCCCCGAACTTATTGTTAAACATAAAATTTAATTTTTTTTTCTTTTACCGCCGATCGTAAAAATTAATAACATAATAATTTCTATCTCTCTCTCTCTCTCTCTCTCTCTCTCTCTCATCGTTTTATTTATTTATATATAAATGCGTTGAATTGTTGAGAATGAATTTTTTTTTTTTATTACGTGTTTTTTTTTTATTTCACCGTATTATTATTATTATTATTATCATTATTATTATTATCGTATCAAACAAGAAGAAAATTGTAATTCTGCGTAAGTATAAGAACAAAATTACCATATTGTCATTTTATGATCGAGTCGGTGATAAATCTCTGTTAAAAAAAAAAAAAAAGTATTAAAATGCAAGAGAGCACCTTCCGACATTGTCCTTTCTTAATCAATGACCAACGGAAATGGAAGCCACTCCCGAAGATGATGATGATGATGATGATGATGATGAAATGGAGGTCTTGAACAGACGTACAGGTATGAATATGAATCAGTGGCAAGCAGAACCGTAAATTGCTAAAACAAAAAAAAAAATGAAAATAAATAAAACTATATTTTGGATACTACGAATCGTTTTATTTTTTCCATTCCATGAGGGAAAGGCGTACCAACATTAAAAATAATAAAAATGGAAGATTCCCATGTTATAATTATTATTATTATTTTTCCATTTATCCGGTTTCCATTTAATATTTTTCTCGTATTAAATACCGATTTGACCCAGCTTTCTCTTAACTTCCTTTCTATTTTCTCTCTCTCTCTCTCTCTCACACACACACACACGGAATCATTTGAAAATTATTAATAATAATAATAATAATACGTGAAATTATTTTTTTTTTTTAATTCGAATTGTAAAAATGATGACGATGACGATGACGACGGGTGGTAAAAATATTTTTCTAGATTTTTCCGTTATGACTAACACGATTTAAATTGATTTTTTTCTTTTTTTTTGGGGGGGCGTTAATGATAATGATAATAATAATAAGAAATACGTGTTTTATCAACGAGGGGCTTCGTTATCAAAAATAAATACAAACGAGAAATAAGAATATGCATGATAAAAATTTTTTGTTTCGGTGTAAATTTTTTTTTTTTTTTAGTTAAATTTTAACTGATTTGTTATTAAATTATTATAAACAAAAGAAACAACAACAACAATTTATAACACGATTAACAGTTAAACAAAAAAAAAAAATTAAGGGGGGAAAAATTAGTAAAAGTCCATTTTGAAAAATTTAAAGTTGTTGTTGTCGTTGTAATTAATCCGATGGTTTTTTTTTTTGTAAACGTTGGTAATAACGATTTATACCAACGTATTAATAATGATAATAATATTTTTTTGTCGTCGTGGAAATAGTAATTCGCCACTGATCAACCAACGTTAAACGTTTTTATCATTTCTGGCGCGTATCAACACAAGAAAATGTTTTTTGTAAAAATGTCACATCCGCCCCCTTCTTCGTTCATTGAAACGTGTTCGTCACGTTCTGCTTACATAATTCACTCAGTCCTCCTTTGGTTCACCTCACGAGTTTATAGCCAAAAAGGAAAAAAAAAAAAATCTTTTGCTGAAAAAAAAAAAAAAAAAACGTTTCTTAAAATAATGATATATATACTTAAAAATACGTTATGAGAAAAAAAAAACAAAAACAAGAAACATTGTTTTTATATATATATATATTACCGCGTTGTAATGTTTGTTTCGAAACAACAACTATTATCATTATTATTTCTTCTTTCTTCTGTCGAGAAATAAAAAAAAAAAAAAAAAGTAAATACGATTCATAATTATTCAAAGGTTCATTCATGATTTTTTTTTTTTTTTTTTTTACCGGTTGCATACAAACGACCAATTATTTTAAAAATAATAATAATTTTTTTTTGTTTGTTTGTTTGTTTGTAAACATTAAATTTATATACGACAAATAATATTTATGCTTAATCTCGTGATGGGTTAAAAAACAAACGAATCGAAAGGAGAAAAAATTCAATTCCTGACCAATTCGCCATTAAATGAATTTTTATTTTATTTTTATTATTACCGTTTGTTATTTGAATTCGTATCCGTAAAAAATAATAAGAGAGCTGTTGTAAAATTATTTTTAATTATTAATTTTTAACCGGAAATAACAAATAAATAAATAAATAAAAATTAATTGATAATTTAAATAAAAAAAAAAAAATTTCAGTGGATTAATTGACGTTTATGAAAAAAGAAAAAAAATACTAAAACGTGATTGGTTGATTATCGTTACGTATTTTCATAGTTATAAAAACATCCGCTAGGGGTGTTGTGCTCAGTTGTTTTTTTATTTTTAAATTCGTTTTCGTTTTTCTTTTTATTTTTTTAAATTTATTTAAATTGTTCAATAAAAAAAAATTATTATTATTAATATTATTAAAAAAAAAAAAAAAGTATTTGACTCAATGGAAAAAAAAAAAAAAATTTTTTTTATAACACAATCCGCTGCGGACAGGATTCGAACCTGCGCGGGCTGGGCCCATTGGATTTCAAGTCCAACTCCTTAACCACTCGGACACCGCAGCTTCGAATACTCCGAGCAATAATTTACAATTATAAATAAAATAAAATAAAAAATTTTTTAGAACGAAATATTACGTCACGTCAAACTTTTAAATAATAATAAATTTTTTTTTGGGATTAATATGGAGAGTTAATAATTTTTTTTTAAATAAATAAAATTTTGTTATTAAAAAAAAAAATATTAATTAAAGCTTATTATTATTATTATGATTATTATTAAAAAAAAAAGATTATAATATTTATGTTTTAAAAAAATTAATTTTTGGCAGAGGTTATTGTATTTTTTTATCGACAAACACAAAAGCAATATTAATGACCTTTTTGTGTCACGATTAAAATTAAAAATGGCGGATGGAAACGTCATAATTAATAATTTAATATTAATAAAATATTCTCAGAAAAAAGGTCTAAAGCTATAACTAAACTTTTTCATTATTCTCTTAAACCTAACTTAAATATCTTTAAATTTATGTACCTAAAAACCTATTCAAGCAAATCAATGCTAATATGATGACGTCATTAACTATTATTAATAGAACTATTTTAAATAATTTTTTGGTTTTAAATTTAATTACTCAAAGGAATTACGTGGGGAGGAAGGAGTAGGAAGAAGAGGGAGGAGGGAGGGAGGGGAAATAAATAAAAAAAAAACTTTTTTTTGTTTTGTGCAAATAAACGAACAAAAGAAATTCGCGCTTATGATTTTACGCGTGCGCGGGCGCCATTTTTTTTTTTTTTTTTTAAATTTCTTTTGCCACGTTTATAATTTATTTTATTTATAAAATACATAGCAATTCTTCTAAAACTACTACTCCTTATTATTATTATTATTAATTATATGAATGTAAATTTAAAAAAAAAAAAAAATTCGATGCATAAAATTTTAATATTATTATTATTATTTTTATATAAATATATAAGTAATAGTAATAATAATAATAATAATAATCAATATAAAAATATTGAATCGTGTATAAAAAATATATATAAAAAAACTCATCGAATTTTTTTTTCTTTTTTTTCTTTTTTTAAATTTTCTCAATAATAATAATAATATTATAAATTCGTTATTAAATCATATAGTAAAAAATATATGTATAAATTATTATTATTATTATTAATTGGAAGCGATCGAATTTATTTTAATTTTTTTTGAGATTCCATAATTAATAAAAAAAAAAAAATTTCCCCGAGAAAATCATTTAAAAAAAAAAATTTTTTTTAACATTAAATAATTAATACTGAAGCGTTTTAACGCCAGGTACATTTTAAAAACAAAATTTCATCATCACTTTAAACCTTATTATTATTATTATTATTGCTTTAATTTTGACGTCATTTCAAGCATCTTTTATTAAAATATAATAATAATATATATATCGAATAAAAAAATCAACAGAAAATTAAAATTTTTAATTTTTAATGAAAAAAAAAAAAAAAAAGAAAAAAATGAAAATTTAATTTCAGGTACGGTTAAGATGCTTAATTATTATTATTATTAATTAAGTAACAAATTGTGATGCAAAACCACAAAACGGAAAAAAAAAATTACTCCGGCATCATCGTCATCATTATCATTTTAAAAAAAAAAAATTTCAATTTTAAATAATAGGCACTAATTATTCATTTATTTATTATTAATTATTATTATTATTATTATTTTGGCAATATATATAATCAATAATCAATAATCAATCGATTTCATTTGATAAAACACGAATTTATACTATTCGTTTGTGATATTAATTACGTAATAAAAAAATATTTTATTGTATGTATATAAAAAAGTGCTTTTTATTAATAACCGACCTCACTTATAATAATAATAATAATGATAATTATATTTACGTACGCGGTGCAATATTATTATTATTATTATACATATGCGTGTGTGTGACAAACAAAATCGTCGCCATTTTTCTTCTTTCCATCTGCGATTTTGTTTGCGTCGTTTGGGGGGGTGTGGGTGTCGTGTCACGAGACACGAGACACGAGGAGGGAAAAATTTTCAACCGGTTCTTATTCCCGTATTTATTTATTTCATACCGGTGGGGGTCCGAAATCGTATCTCAAAACCGGGCTAAGAGATGATTCTAAATTATTTAACGAGTCGCAGCATCTTGACTCCATGAGGTAGGCAACGCACCAAAGAGCAATGAGAGCTATGTGAAATGGCAAAGCACATCGTATCAATCTCCATATCCATGATTTTTTACCACCGTGTTTTACGCTTCCCTCCCCTTCCTCCCCCTCTTCCTCTTCCTCCTCCTCCACTTCTTTTCCTTTTTCATCGTCTTCCACCGTTTCTTCTTTTATCGTGTCTTCTAATTTTTTAAATCCTTTTCCTTTGACTTTTTTACTATATCGAAAACAAACAAAAAAAACAAAAAATTGAAAATTATTATTTAATCCGAACCGAAAAAATATAATAATAATAATGAGTCGAAGAGAGAGAGAGAGAGAGAGAGAGAGAGAGGAAAAAGGGAGGAAAATGGGAAGAAAAGGAAAATTTTCAAATTCCGAAACGAAAATTTTTTTATTAAACGATTCACAAAATTTTATTTCGGGAAGAGGAGGAGGTACAACGAGGCGGGAGAAGGGGAGGGAAAAGAGGGAATAAAAAAAATTGAAAAACCTCCTTTTCTTCCTCCTCCCCCTCCCCCACCCGTTTTCCGCTTCAACGCGCACTACACCAAAGTGCAGAAAAAAAAAGTAAATGAGATCATTTTTATGCATAACGCAAAGTTTGAAATGCATTGAAAGCGCGCGCCTTCTGGAATGTTTTCCATTTACCCCTTCCGCTTTTTATACGATTCTGGAAACAATTTTTTTTTTCTTCCCCCCCCCCTTTCCCTCCTCCTCTTCGTTTCCGTTTCCCTTTGCGCCTCCTTCTCCCCTACCCTACCCTTCCCTTTCTCTCCATTCCATTCGAATTACTTAAAAGACTTACCCAAGGGATGATTTCGATAGGCTTTGAATTATTTTCGGATATTCTTCCAGGGAACCGTCCAAAGCGGCCAAATTCGATGTTTTCGACACGATTTGTTTTAATTCTTCGCTCGATGACGATCTCACCAATAAATCTCTGCACGTTTTCTGGAGTTCCCTGTATCCATTTTCAGTTTTTTCAATTCTCTACAAAAACAAAAAACGATTTCAATAAATCGATAAACCATCAAAACAAAACAAAAAAGGAAAAAAAACCGTTGGGACAACTCACGTTGAACATGTTCGAAAGTGCTTGACTACTCGGAACCAAAATACTTTCCAAACGTTTGGCCAAACGTTTCAATTGTGCCAACCTTTTTTCACGTTCGTTAAGCTCTTGTTCCGATCCCGAATCTGATATTCCGGAATCTGAGAGTGAACCTTCCGTGCTGAGCGCCGTCAACAACCCGTTCCCAGATTGTTCTTTACCATCCCCAATCATTTTCTTTTCCGCCATCATTTCGGAATTCTGAAAAATAATAATTGAATTCTTCTTCTTCTTAGGGTTTCTGACACGTCGTTGGACAACTGGTCCATAGGACATTGGGTTTACAACGTACCTTATTGACGACGGGTTCTTCGTCGGACAAGAGTCCAGCAATGTCTCTTAGCGAACCCGTGAAATCCGCCGAAGAATTACCGCATTGTATAGCAAAATCAATTACTTTGAGCGTGTCCGTTCTCAACGTGGATTGTAATTGAGCAAAATGATCGTCGAAATCGTTCCAGGCTTGTGACAAGCTTTGAAGATTTAAAAGCTGATTTGTCACTCTGGAAAATAAAACATTTCATACGTGAGTTAGTGTGCGTGTGCGGGTGCGTGCGCACGTGAAAATGGAAAAGAAAGCAAACCTGTTAAACGTTTGTTCCCAAACGCAATAAAGCTCAGTAACTTCATCTTTTAAAGCCGGTTCAACGTGTTTAGCCGTCGATAGAAATCTATGAACGGATAAATTGGCTTGAAGAATTTTATTTTTAAATTTCTTTCTCGAATTCAATTCGTTCTAGAAAAAAATAGAAAAATTAAATCATTATATCAAATAATCTGGCGCACGAAGAGATTCGAATTATGGGAAATCACGTTTTTTTGTCTTTTCATTCTCTCTCTCTTTCTCTTTCCTTTTGTTTCGTTAAAAAAATTATTTGAGTTTAAACTGTATCATTTTTTCTTTTTCTTCTTCCACGTTTTTTTTTTTTTTAAATAAAAAAAAATAAAAAGTTAAATTGACAAAAGCGCAATCTATCATCGATACCGAGTACCATTTAGAGCTTAACGGTGATAAAAAGTTCAAAAAAATTACGTTAGATGTCTCGTTAGATTCGGGTATAATCCATTGTTTTTTTTCTAACTGCGTGCATATATACATATATATTTACGTAAGGTGACCTACAATACAAAGTCTGCCTGCCTGCCTGACACCTTCATAGTTCTTGAAGGTTTGCAATGGTTCCGGGGGGAGGGGAAGGGGAAAATTACGATTACGACGGGTTAAGGTATGAATACCTCAATTTTAATTATCATGGACTCCAGTTCTCCTCGCGAAGTTACTTTTTTCTCCATGGACTCGATTGCTCTGGCCCAATTAAGAACTTCGTTTTTCAACGTAACCATAACATTTTTCAATTGTTCTGCTTTTCGTATTTCGGCCGCCGTTTTCAAATGTTGCCAACGATTTTTAACATCTGCGAAAAATAAATTTTTTTTATTATAATAATAATAATTTAAACATCGAACTAGAAATGATTCACGAACGTGTTAAACACATCGTAAAAAAAAAAACAGAATAAAAATCATTTATAAAAATTGCACACGACTATCAATCAACGTAATTCTACAAAAGGAAAAGAAAACCATTAATAATAATAATAATTATTATTATTATTATGATGTATCGATATATATATTTGCATTCGATTTAACTTTTTGTAATTCCAATCATGAAAACAAATCAGATTGTTTCCTGTTGATTTAAAAAAAAAAAAAAACAAAACAATTTATTAACACTCATTGTTTTGTCTTTCTTTCCTTTCTGTTATAATGATAATTCTTGGATGCGTTTAAAAAAAAATTAAAATGACGGTTGTCGGTTGTTGTTGAATATTCAAGCGAACAAAATAATAATAATAATAAAAAAGTTTCGACATCAATTAAATATAAGACGAGACACGTTTTCGTCATGCAAAAGTTAAAAAAAAAAAAAAAAACAAAGAAAAAAAAATGAAATCAACAAACATCGACTTGTTTCTCTCGATTTACGATATTCACACTCACTCACGCACATCCACACCCACAACTTTTGAAAAAATGATGACAATTTTGCGGTGAAAATGTAATTTATCTATCATTATCACGAGTGGGGAGAAAACCTAACAAAAAAAAATTCTGCCACGCCATTTAAATTAATTTTAAAGAGAAAAAAGAAAGAAAAATTTCTATTCGATTTCATTATTACTTCTACCCCACCACCACCACCGCCGCCGCCACCGCTACAACTTTCATTTTTATATAAATAACCCCCTTTCAACTTTTTTTTTTTAAAAAAAAATGACTTCCTTTCTTTAAAAATAATAATAATTAAAATCAGATGACGGATCTTTGATTATAATTAAAATTAAATTACTTTAATTGGAACGTGCTGACGATGCAGTTTGAAGGAAAAAAAAAAAAAAAAAAAAAAAAACGTTCATTAAGGTCAACAAACGCGTTGCAAAGCCCTCGCGATAAAACCTCGTTCGAATTCGAATTCGAAAAAAACGTTCGACCAATCACGAGCCAATGAATGAATGAATGAATGAATGAGTGGGTGGTTCGGTAGGTAGGTAGGCAGTAGGTTGAAATTTTCGAAAAAACAAAAAAAAAAAAATAACCAAAAGAAACTTCAACAAATTATTAGACATCAACACTCGTGGGATGATGAACGTAACAACTTATCATCATCATCATCATTATTATTATTATTATTATTAACACAATTATGTTTTCTTCAAGGTGAAATGTAAAAACCAAATTTGGTCATGATTTTCTCGCGGAATCATCCGCCATCGAAATACCAACCCAACAACAACAACATACGCATCAAACGAAATTTTCTCAAACGGGAAAATCGGAAAACAAATTTCGATTTTTCCAATCGATTTCAACAATCGATTATCGATACGAACAATCGTTTGGGTTATGAAAACATAAAGTTTTTGACATTTAAACGTTTGTTTTTTTTCGATTAGCACACGAATATTGTAAGAGGGGAAATGAATGGAAGAGGACGATGACGACGACGACGATGAGAGTCATCAATCATTAATTAATTTTTAAAACGTGATGCCGTAGGGTAATAAATAATAATAATAATAATAATAAATAAAATAAATAAATAAACATAAATAAAATAAATAAATAAATAGGAAAAAAAAAAAAAAAAATTGAAAAACACTCACAATCGGTTTGAACTTGAACCGAGACCACGTTGCCAACAACAACACTTGGCTCTTTAATATTTAAAGAATTTAATACCGAAGTCATGGCATCACTGTTTAAAAATACTTTTCTTCTTTTTTTTTTTTTTTTTAAATAAAAAATAAAGAAAATTTTTTTATAATTTAAATCTCAAAGAGAAAACTTGCCAACCGAAAAAAAAAAAAAAAAACAAAAATGGCTACGAGATCGAATTTTATTTATTTAAATTTTAAAATCGCGCAATTTTTATGAAACTATCATATAAACGATGAAAACGTCACGGAAAACTATTAATAAAATAATAATAATAAACGCTTATAACAATTTTTTTTAATTACGCACTTGAACAACGCACACAACGACGAAAAACAACGAAAACGACAACAACAAAAACAACAAACAACAACAACACGGAGTGATTTCGTCGAAAGAAATAAAACATTTAACTCGCTTTCACGTTTAGTGAAATTTATACGGTTGGCTGCACTGTATCGAGCATAGGCGGCGACGGTGGCGGCGAAACGAAACGAAACGCCAGCCCAGGTTCGCGCCTTTAGGCCAAAAGTTGTTTCGAAACAAGTCTTTTTCTTTTCTTTTTTGCATTTCGAAATCATTTTCCTTTTTTTTCTTTTCTTTTTGTCTTTAGGTAATTAAAGTTTTGATTTAATAAATTCTCGAAAAGGAAACGATGACGACGAGTGCGAAATTATAAAAAAAGGATTCGACCCATTTATAGTCACAAATTTTGATTTACTCAAAGAACACGACAACAACAACAACAACAAATTCGGTCGCAACGACTAAATTAAGTCAAAGTGTGTTCGCGAACGATTAGGCGTGGTTATGGCAATTTCGCAACGTAAAAAAATCATTATTATTATTATTATCGTCAGACCTCTTTGGTGCCATTAGTTTTTTCCCCAACTCGCGAATTCAAAAAAAAAAAAAAAATGATTTACTTACTCAAAACTTCATCTCGTTCTTTCGATATGTATATTTCATCTTTGACTTCGTGTAAAACTCTCGTGAAATCGTCAACCTTGTTTTTACAAATGGCTATTATTTCATCCTGAAAACAAAAAAAAGTGCGTGAGTGCGTGTACGAAGGTAAAAATGCAACGGTTTAGAGATTCGCTTAGATGGTTTTAACGTGTTTGCAAATAAAGTTGATAAGAAATTAACAACCGACATTAATACGGGGAGTCCCCTCTTCTAAATAAAAAGAAAAATTTAATGTTGCGATTATACTTTCGAGAGCGGGAAAACTACCGCCGTCGCCGCTCCTCCTACTCCCCCTGCCATCAAAATTTCGGTTAATTTTTTTAAGTTAAAAATAAAAACTTCCCAAGAGGTACTATAATTATGATGATGATGATGATGATGATAGCGGAAGAGAAACATAAATAATTAACCTACCAAAAACGATTTACTGAAGGATTCATCATCGCTCATGTGACCGCCATAATAACTCGTTAAACGATCGCTGTTGGATTCGTACAACATTTTTTCAACCAAAATCATTTTGTCCATTGATTTTTTCAAAAATCTTTTCACTTCGTCCACGTCCGAATCCGAATCGAATTTATTCGATCTGCATCCTTTTTTCATTTTAAAGGATGTCGGACCGTCGGATTGAACTTCTAGAAATTTTGCGTAATCCTCTCCGAAATCTAATAGTTTTTTGGCAGTGTCCGAATCAGCTGGTTCTTCGCTATATGCTTCGCTTTGATATTTTTCTTGGTAGTCATCCCAAGATGGTTGATCCGAATTGAAACTCAATTGTTCTTCACCTTGATTTATTTCCCGACGTTCTAAAAACAAATCAATTTCATCAATTTTCGCGTCAGTCACGCGTTGTAATATAAAAGAATGAGACCGTCCGGGAAAAAAGAAAAAAAATTTTCCAACATTGATTACGTTACCTTTATTCATCGAAATGGTCGTTACGGCTCCAGATTTTGGACCGAGACGAAATCTTGGAAGGCTCAACGTTTTTTGCTCGTCTGAATCCGTTCCGCTTCCGCTGTTACACTTTGACGAAACGCTTTTCTGCTTTCTCGTGTCACCAGAAAACGAACCGGATTTGACCAATTCGGACGAACTCGTTTGCCTGTTGGGAGAGGAAAGATTTGCCGAATCGCTGCTGTTGTTGAGAGTGTTGAAACCATCCGAACCCGAATTACTTTTCTTGTTCTGAAAATAAATAAATTAATGACGTCATTTTGTTTTTCCTTATCACAGGACTCGCGTGTAAAAGATTCTTCTAAAAAAACGTTTCGAATCGAAATTTGATTCGATACGGATCTCAGAAGACATTTTTTTTTTTTTTTTTAAATCTTTTTTATTATTTGGCAAACGTTTACGTGACCCATAAAATACTTTTTTTTTTCTCGTTAGCCGTTACCAACATTCCAAACAAAAAAAAAATTAATTCTCACCGTTCTTTTCCTTATTTTCGTTCTTCTTTTCCGTGAGGATCCCCACGTTCCCCAAAATCCGCAGTCTCTCGATTTTTCAAATTGACCGAGCATTTGATTCAATGCCGATTCCGACATGTATGCTCTCGTTCTTAAATTCGATCCTCTCGAACTTCTCAAAAGCGACACGTTCGACATGCTCCAGGGACGATTACGTCCTCCACCGAAACTTCTAGAAAGAGACTCGGGTTTCGAGACGAGAGTTTCATCCAGTATTCCTTCGGCGGAACCCGTTCCTCTGCACGTGGCAATGCTACCATCATTCTCTTCGGAAGATTGCGAATCCCAATCGTCGGAATCTTCCGTGTATTCTCCGCTTGCGTCGCAACTATCCGGTGGCCTCTCTTTCTCCTCTTCTTTCGACAATTTCAATTTTAAATTTCTAACCCTGTAAGATTTGGGTTTCGTTCTCACCAATTCATCGGCTCTATCGACCAATTCTCTATTTATCGACGATATCGGTTCGATATTATTCGAAACCTTCGACGAATGAAGTCTTGGAATGTTTTTAGCACTGAAATGTTTTATTCCCTTGGGAGAACCATTTTCTCTCGCTACGTTGACCTCCCCGAAATTCAATCTAACTGCAGCCTTGGATTTTTTATTTTCTTCCGATTTATTTTCACCGTCGGCCGGAGTGTAAACCCAACCATCGTCTGACGACGTCGTTTCTCCATCTTTTCCATCCGGTTCTTCTTTCGCGTGAACGTCTTTTTTATTATTACATTTAACTGATGACACGTTCATTTTTTCAATTTCCGATTCGGTGTCAGAATGTTTCAAGGATATTGTTTTCGTATTTGGAGGCTTTGTGTCAGGCCTGTAAGGAAAAGAACAAAAAAAAATTTTTTAAATGAAGAAGAGATTTTGTTCACTTCCGTATTACAACAATTTTATTTAAGACTGCCAAAAAAAAAGAGAGAAAACGTAACAAAGATGATTGATTGGCGTACACCAACCAATCGAAAGCCCACGGAAAAAAAAAAAAAATTTTCTTCTTTAAACAGAGACCTCGTGCAAAACCACAAAACTTTTTTTTTTCTTCTTTCCACTCAAAACACCACAAGAACAAAAAAAAAAAAAAAATGTACCTGTTATAATAATTGACGGGGGTTGAAGCATCTCTCGGACTGTTGCCATTTTTTAAATTAATACCACTACCACCGGTGATTTTACTTTGAGACTGTAAAACAACATTATTTCCTGTTGGATAATTAAATCTCGAACCGCCGTTCGCTTGATTGAAACCGCGTTGATCAACGTTCTTTGAAATGGATCCAACAGACGATTTCGCTGACGAAAAAACTTCTGGTCTCAAAATAGATTCTGCAAATTTAAATAAAAAATAGAGAGTACATTCAGAAATCATTCGAAAAATTGAAGGTTAATTTTGCATTCGTGCTAATCTAACCGCCGAATAGTTTTTTTACGAAAAAAATTTATTTTTGTACACGTTGGCATCCATGTTTTTTTCTTTCTTTCTTTAAGAATGTATTTATTTATTATGACTAGACTGGATTATTTCGCTTTTTACTCGGGATGTTAATTTCACGAATTTACTAATCTAGTAACACCGACTTCCGTACCCGTTTCCCACCGCCCACACCTCTCCTTCCACGTCTACTACCTCCCCCCTTCTCTCATCAAACCCATCTAATTTTTTTTTTTAATTGCAAGGATTTATTTTAAAAAAAATAAAAAATCGAAAGCCATCGATCTATTTAAATGAATAGATTAATAATAATAATAATAATAATAATAATAATAATAATAATAATAATAATAATAATTAAAATTCACAGAAGGAAAAAAAAAAAAAAAATTTTTTTGAAAGGAGTCCCATTAATTTTTTGTTGCTCAACAGTTGGTGTCACGAAGATAAATGAACTCAATTTTTTCGTAAATGACTTTCCGCTTAAATAATAATAATAAAATTTAATAATAATAATAATAATAATAATAATAATAATAATAATATCAAAAAGGAAAAACTTTTCAAGGTAAAAACCAAATACAAATTTTCAACCAGTCACCACTCATTATTATTATTATTATTAATATAATTACGTGGCAATCGATTTAAATTTTTCTCTGTTTACTCCGTCTCGCAAAGAAACGTTCAAATCAATTTATTATTATTATTATTATTATTTTAAACAGATTCCACGAGCGTAAGAACCTGGAAAATTCTTTTTCATTTTCGTCTGCTATTAATCATTTAAATTTTTATACAAACCTTTTTTTTTCGGACCGAATTCTTGTACGTGCCAAAAATTATCATCCGATATATTTTCTCCAGAAGTTACATCCATTTCTAACTCGTTCTCCTGTAATAATAATAATAATAATAATAATAATAATAATAATAATAATAATAGTTAAATAATCAACGAACGTGAAGAATTTTTTATCTCTCTCTCACACACACAAATTAAATTAAAATTTAACCTTCTTCCTTTCACAATAATAATAATAATAATAATAATAATAATAAAAATTACATCCTTTTTATAAATTTCTACATTGATTTCCTTTAAGCAGAAGAAGAAAAAGATGATGATAATGATGATGAAATTTTTTAAATTTAATTTAAAATAATTATACACACACACATTTCAATAAATTTTTTTTTTTTTTTTTGAATTAAACCTTTAAATTTGCAACATTCGATACGCCCTCATTATTACAACAAAAAAATCTCATCAATTTATTTTTTTTTTTTAAATAACTGTAAAAACGAACGGAAAAAGAAAAGAAAAAAGAAAAAACTACGTGCGCGACCTTCGAAAAGAAAAAATTAAAAAAAAAAATCCCTGAAATCCACTCCATTATGGAAAGAGAGAGAGAGAGAGAGAAAAAACCGTTTCGGTATAATTATAATTACATTACCAAAAATACGAATAATTTTCTTTTTCTTTTTACAAAAAAAAAAAAACCCACCGCCGACGAAATGACCGTTAAAAATTTTTTTTTATATATACATTTCATCTCAAAACGTCATAAACAGAGAGAGAGAGAAAGAGAGAAAGAGAGAGAGAGAAAATCACACGGGAAAAACTTACAAATAGTAAAAAATAATTTGCCATTTTATTAGTATTTTAAAAAAAAAAAAGAAAGAAAGAAAATGACCGCGTTACGCGAGGTAAAACTAAAACTGAAAAAAAAATAACAAAAATTACGTGTCGTAATCGAAATAATAATAATAATAATAATGATTAACTATAATTAAACTTAAACGTTTATTTCACAAAAAAAAAAAAAAAACAAATCTCGAACCTAGATAACTTGTAGATTCCAGCAGCTAACAAATGTTTAATAAGAAACTCAAGTGGAAATTACGAGAAAATAGGAGAGAGAGAGAGAGAGAGAGGGGGGAAGGGGGGAAGGGAAAACAAAAAAGTTCGCGTTAAGATACGAGATCGCTGACTTTGAACCGTTTAATCGGGTCTATGTGCGTACGTATATGCCCGATATACTATCGACGAATGGGGGGAAACCGTACCGGGGTATACCATAAAGGGAGAGGCAGAAAGGGAGGGGAGGAGGGGAAGGGAGGAAGAAAACCGTGGAAGAAGATAAGATATTTTAAACGTTAGCAAAACCGTATCGACCGACTAATAATACGACACTCATTATGTTCTAAAAACAAAAAACAATCAAACGATGAATAAGCTAAAAAAAAAATTTTTTTAAAGTCTTTCTGACCACCTATTATTATTATTATTGTTATTATTTTCTCTCTCTTTACGTAACTGGAAAAAAAAATTTCCAGTTGAAAAAAAAAAAAAGAAAACAATAACTTTCGTTGATCTTTGCTTTGATCCGGTTTGATAAACCGTAAAAAAAAAAAAAAAAAACATTATTTGAAAAAAAAGTATTCACAATAAAAGAGTTGTTGTTGTTGTTGTTCGAAGAAGGAGGCATAAACCACATAATGAAAATAAATAAATAATGATGATGATGATGATGATGATAATGGTAAATAAAAGTCGGAGGCAAATAAAAACAGAAAGAGGTGAACGAGACGCGACTGGAGTCCATCCGACACCATAGCCACCATCCATCAAATCTCGTCAATCACTGTTCGTGGTAGGGTTCCTTCCTGCTGTCGGGCAAAAACCGGAGGAGACATGCCAATCAAAACGAAAATGAATTATCATTACAAACAGTCATTCAATTTTCCATTCGCGGAATGATTCCATCCCGTAATTAAACAACCACGAAAGAAACCATCGCGATGGATGGATGGAAACGTCGAGAATAAACGGATGAAAGTCCGAGCAAAAAAAAAATTAGTAACCGTGTTAATGTTTTCTTATCAGGTAAATAATAATAATAATAACGTGGTGATAAGAAAAAGAAAAACTTCTTATCAATTATTTCATGCGGTCATTTAATTTAACAAATTTCTTCTTTTCTCTCTCTCTCTCCCTCTCCCTCTCCATCTCTCTCTCTTATCACTCTTCTCTTGTGTATTCGAAACTTCCTGGATATCAAAGTGACAAAAAAATTTGCGTCAATTATCAAAAAAAAAAATTTTTTTTTTTTGACCAGGAAGTCAAGACGCTCTTCGTATTAACGATAATGATAATAATAACGATGATAATAATAATAGTTATAATAATTTCCCTTTTAAAATGTCAAAAAAATCGAAAATGTCGACCGGTTCCTTTTCGTAAAAACAAAAAAAAATTTTTTTTTTTTCTCCAGCCATTTTAATAAAAGAAAGAGTAAATAAAATTAACAATAGAAGAAAGAATTACGTAAAAGAAAAAGAAAAAACTCCCGAACAGGATGTGTTCGAGATGGGATACGACCCATAATAATAATAATAATTACAATGATAAATAATTTCCACCGTGCGGCTGTCATTGAACGTTGAAAATTAAAATAAAAAATAAAAAAAACTTCTGGTGAAAGTTTTATTATCATTATTATTATTATTACCATCATTATTATTTATCAACATCATCATCATCATCATCAATTTTTTTTAATAGCCTTTTAATAGTGTCATCATCTTGATTTTCTCTCTCTTACCTTCGAGGATTCTTCTTTTTCAACCTTTTTCAAATCTCGTTCTTCGTCAACATTTCCGCATTTTAATAAATCTTCGGGATATTTGTTACAATTGAATCTTGGGATTTTCGCTCTTGGCTCTCCGTCGCTTTCGTTATTCCAATTTGACGGACTCTGCAATAAAAAAAATCAATCAATCAATTATCATCATCATCATCATCGGCGTTTTTATCACCGCCATAATAATTACAGTGTTAAAAACCTGAATGACACCATACGCATGTTTCCGCTTTGTCGAAAACAATGACAATCTTACACGATTGCCAACATACGAACGAATCGAATTTAACCGAAATAAAAATCTAAATTATTAATAATAATAATAATAATAATAATAATAATAATAATATTAATAAAACCCTCGAGGAATCTGTCGTCGAATTAAAATAACCGTACGAATGTAACGTAACGGAAACGATTCCAGTGCCGACAACATTTAAATTAATTTAAATTAATGTTTCCTTGACAAAAAAAAAAAAAAACTACCAGTATCATTATCATTATTATTATTACAAATACAAAAAGAAACCGACGTCATCAGTAGTATTGTTATAGTAAAACGGATTTTCCTTCGTTATTTATTTCCCATTAAATATTAACGCGTGTAACCTTTTCATTCGTCAAAAAGTAACTTTCATTTTGATTGTGCGTGTGTGCGTGCCTGAGATGCGTTCATTTTAAAACCTATGATATTTAACTCGTAATGAAACTATCGAGATATCGATCGAGAGAATGAGTTTGCAAATGATTATAATTATAAGTATTATTATTATTATTCATAAAGAGTTAGAGTCATTATAATGATGATGATGATGATGATCGCTCGCTCACGCACGCGTTGTAATCCTCAACGACAACAAGTGTCCGTGCGTGGCGGCAAACAATCTAAACGTAAATAAAATGGCCGACGCCATCGTCATCACCGGGAGGCGTGCGGGATGCGGGGGGAGGAGATTCATTTTGTGTGAACGTACTACAAATTATCATTATTAATGTCGAAAGGAAGGGAAAAAAAAAATAGGTTAAAAACCGTTCACCAGAACGGTTAAATCAAAATTGATTGAGTGATTGATTGATTTACGAAAAACATTTCACTCCCTCCCCATTCCCCATTTGTTTCTATTGACACGACCAAACATAAATAAACATGATTAACGTTTCGTACGGTTTTTTTTTTTTTTTTGGCAATAAATTGCTACTGGTTAATTATTTTTGTTTCATTTCTGTCAAATTATTATTACCAAAAAAAAAAAAAAAGGATAATCGTCTGCTACGCGATTTGAATTTTCATTATTATTTTTTTTTTTTGTCGATTGAATTCAGGTATTTATAAACAAAAAAAAAAAAACGTGGACGAGGTCAAATTGATTATTATTATTATTATTATTTTTATAAGGAAATGAAAAACAAGCAGACACCCTTAATTTACTTTTAAAGAGGGAAGAAGGAGGTTGATCACAGGTAAGAGAAATAATAAAAAAAAAAAAAGAGTTGATGAACCAGTTTTCCGTTTTGTTTCTTTTTTTTTTTTTTAAAAAAAAAATTCTGCTAATGACACGTCTACAAATTAACTGTATAATTTAAATCGGTAGAAAAGTTAAAACGAAAATTACTATAAAATATAATTTTTTTATTTTTTTTCTACTGCCCAAACGAGGAGACCCCGATGTAATACACGTGTACACGTGTGTCCTACATATTCGTACTTTAAGAAAAACGACGAGAGACGGTTGTGAAGATGGGAAGGAAAAGGAGTAAAAGAGGGAGGGAAAGTTTTTGAAAGACAACCGCCATTAGTTATAAAAAAAAAAAAAAAAAAATAAGAAAGAAAGAAAGAAAGAATGAAACAAAGGTTGAACAATGAAGATAATACAAAACGAGTGTTAAAAAACCTAAATGAGGTACCCCCGCCGCCGACCGTGGGTGGTACCACCGACACACACACGCGGAGGTGGCGGATTCGGCGGTTATTTACACGACGACACAAAAAATTTAATTAAAACTTGATATTCGATTGTCAATTTAAACGCTGTAAAAACTTTCCAAAAAAAAAAAAAAGAAAAAAAAATTTAAATATAATAAAAATCAACTTTTTTTTTCTTCTTCTGACACGTCAAATTGGTTTTTTTTTTTTTTTTTTTAAATATTAATAACGAAACCATCATAATTTCATTTTGAAAAAAAAAAAAAGGTTTCATTAATTTAAACAATGATGCGTGCTTTTCGTCTTGTC